TACTGGCCTGGCTTGGGCTGGTGTTCCTCAGAATGTCCCCTAGCCTGTGGGCCCCCTTTCACCTGCAGGTGCTGGTACCCAGGGAACGTGAACACCCACCTGGGGCAGGACCTGCCAGGGCTCCCCAAACTTGTCCCCTTTCTCTCTCTCCACACTGTGCCTCCTTTGTCGGGCAGGGAGGGAGGCTGCACACTGGAAGCCGGCTCCAGACAGCAGCAGACACAGGGGCTCAGGGAGGTGGAACCAATAGACGAAGAGTAAACACAAAGGAAAACAAAGAGGAAACAAATCCCTCCCTAGGCCACTCCTCACCCCCTCCACTTTCCCTTTTTCCCAGAAGAAAGGGGATGGATGGAATTAAACAAACTGCTAGCACCCAGCAGCCACCTTCCTTTTGATCCCCAGAAGGGAACAAAGAGAGCCCAGCTCAGAAAGACACCCGGCCAGAGTTCCACCCTGCCCCCAGGGCACAGGGGAGGATGGCCCCTCAGGACTTTTCCTGGGCCACAGAAAGGCCAGTTCCCCAACCCCAGCTTCCCTCCCCACCCCACCGTCTCTTACCCAGGTCCTGGCTTCCTGGGATTGCAGCCCCCACACAGCAAAATCCCAGACGGTTCTTCCACCCGGTCCCCTGCACTTAGGTCCCCTGCGGCTTAGGCGTACCTGACACAATGCCTGGGCCCCAGCTGGGCTGGGGAGAGGGGGAGGGGTGGGGAAGAAGGGAAGCCTCTGGGCCTCCCGCATACACCACACACACACACACACACACACACACTCTCTCTCTCTCTCTCTCTCTCTCCCTCTCTCTCTCTCTCTACCTGCAAAGATCTAAAAACCCCTTTCATCTTAATAAAGGGGAACAGCAAGAGACACAAAGACAAGAGGGAGGCCAACCCAGTTGTAAAAAACATTAAGAGCTTGTGGTAGGCTTCTTTGCTCGTCTTTGCTGGGGCTCTGCTGCTGGGACCAGGCTGAACAACAGAGCCAGGCCTCTGCCTGCCCTCCCATCCCAGCCGGTCAGAGCAAACCAGCTCCCCTCCTCTCCGGAAGTCAGAGGGCCCCAAACCGTAAGGCTAGAACAGTTAGCAAAATTACTCCCAGAATTATTCATGACTACCAAGAGTCATGCTCCCTGTGAATTACACAAATCAAAACAATGACAACAATAACCTACAACCACATCATTTTCCAGCCACAGGACACAGAGATAAGGAGTGATGTACGTGCTCTGCTGCAGCCTCGCACATAGTAGGTGTCCAAATAATGCCTGCTTCTGCATGAACCCATGACCCCGCAAGCTGCCACCGATAGTGTCAAGCTCACAAGGACTTACTCTCACTCCCAAGGTCACCCAGTAAGAAACGGTCCAAAGCTCATCAGCTAAGAAGAGCTGTTTGTAGAGGATTACAGTACAGTAGCTAAGGGGCCAAACTCCGGGAGCAATAGCCCCGGTGTGAACCGAGGCTTTACCACTTGATGTGACGAGAGTACCCGCTCCATGGCATTCTGCACATCCGTGAGGCTGTGCACACACTCCTATGGCAATGCTTTGTAAATGACACTGCTGTTGGCATTGGTGTTGGTGGTAAGGTCAGGTCTCCCCTTTGTTAAATCATCCTGGTTGCATCTTAAGGACTCCTCTGGGAAGAGGGGGGTGATTGACACCCCTGCAGCTCCTCCAAAAGCCTGGGATTATGACTGAGTTGTGTCCTCCACCTCCCTGTCTTCTAAAACCCCAAGGGGCTGGCACAGGGGGAGAGGAGGATGTTTGGCATCCCCCCCTACCCCCCGCTGCCCAGCCTGGCAACAACGACACCCACAGCTCTGGCACCAGGTTCTGAGCACCCTGTATCAGGAGGGGGCAGACTCCACATGGATGTTGCAGAATGAATGAATGAATGAATGGAGTCAGGACTGGGAAAAGAACCTCACAGCTTTTACTCCCAGGAGCAGGAATCTAAACTTCCTGGAGTGGAGTGGGAAGCCCTGGATGAAGTCGCTTCTAAATTCTTTCTTCCAGGGAGGCGCCCTGCAGCCAGGAGAGCAAAGCACTAACAGTGTAAGTGTCCTGGGAAAGGTGAGCAAAATCCCCCGACACAGCCCTGGAGCAGCCCCTTTTGGTCCCGACCAGCCTTCACCTAAACTGCAGGCTGACTCACCGGTGACCAAGGTTTACTGAGAAAATGACACAGGAATGAACCCTGACATGTTTATCTGCCCTCTCCGCCCCCAGCAACCCCCTTCTTGTAGAAATGGAAGATAAACAGGATTACAGGGTTCAATACAGATGAGCTAAGAGAAGGAGCAGAGAAGACACCCTTGGCAGAGAGACCGGCAATTCTCCATTTCTGGAGAAAACCAGACAAACCTCACAGCCCTGGCTCACCATGGGAGTTTTGGCAAATTGCAACCACTGCATCCATGGATCGAGGCTTAAGCACTGTGCAAAATGCTTTCCAAGTATCTCTTGCATTAAACCTCCGAGGCAGGCACTTATATCCACTTTACAGACAAGGAAACTGAGGCATGGAGAGGTGAGGCCACCCACTCACCCAGCATCACGGAGCCAGGATGTGACTCTCAAGCCTGCGGTCCTCCCATGCTGCTGTGCTGCCCGGTGGCCTGGTACCTACGGGCTTTCCTTCCCTGCACTGTTTGGGGAAGGACTGGAGACTACTGAGATGGACCGTGGGCATGAGGCAGGGAGTTGGACCCATTGAAATTATGAGGCTCTTTCTACCAAGAGATTCCTAGTGTGACCTGAGCCATTTGAGGTGGCTTTTCAGCCAAAAGGAATGGGAAGCCTTCTCTGCAGTTGATTAGGAAAAGGGAGTGAGGGCTCTTTTGGCACCGGGTGGCGCCTACATGTTAGGACGAGGCACAGAGGAGGAAGTGGCAATGGATGCACTGGCGTCTGGGGCAGCACACAGGGTGGGACTCAGGCATCCCCTGTTCCCCTCCCCTCCAGCCCAGGCATGTGTATCCCCTGCCCTCTTGGTGACGCTGGAACAAAGCATCACAAAGCCTCAGCAAACAAAGGACGCTTTCATGAACTTCAGGCGGTCCCCTGACTACTGCTAAGAGGCTATTGAAATAGGCTCCCATGAGAACAGTGTGTTTTGAGCACGTGGTTTTGCACCACCAGGCAGGGCCGACATTACAACACCCTCCCTTTTGGTTTGATACAGGCTGGGAGGAGACTCTCCAGTATCAGCTTCAGGGAAATGACCTAGAGGGGAGGGAGAAAGCAGTGCCAGCCCATGGCCCATGGCCCACTGCCCACGATAGCGCCAAAGCTGAGCCCCTCCTCCCAGGTGGTGAGTGTCTCACCATGTTATGCACCTGGAAGCGAGTCATTTGGTAATTGGGGGCTTTGTAATTTTCCTAGGGTCTTCCATCTGAGGAGCTCAAAGTGCTCTGAATATTATCTGGTACTGGTTGTTACTGTCCCCATTAAACAGACAAGAAAACTGAGTCCCACCTGCTCCTATCACAGAGTGAGTCACAGCAGGAGGGAACCAGACAACTCAGGCCTGGAGTTGGTGGTCTGCCTGCTATCTTGTCACCTTGGACACAAACTCTGAGGGATTCTTTATGCCAGCTTTATGTTCACCAGGCCATGGTGTCCAGGCAGAGGTGGCAGAAAGAGTCTAAGGCTCCAGGAGATAGCAGATCTAGACCTGAATCTCATCTCTGTTGTTTTTAGTTTGGGGCAAGTGCCTTGACCTCTCTGCAGCTGTCCGTTCACCTGTAAAACTAGGATAGCACACATCTAGATGGGCTTCTATGAGGAACAGAAACAAATAAGTGTAAATTCCTAGGATGGTGGCTTTGCTCACAGTAGGTGCTCAGTTAATGAAGCCATTATTTTTTTTTAAGTCTATTTTACTTTTATGAAAAATAGGTCATGACAATTGATTTGGGGACCAGATTTGTAAATAGAATAATAAACTTCAAATAGTCTTCTCTGCTAATGATACTCTAATTTTCATCTGTAACCCTGGAAAAGCTAGGTTCATACAAAAACTAAAGCAATTACTCTAGTCCCTGACATGCTGGGAAGCATTTGAAGTTATGCATCTGAATTTGCACAAAGCAAAAACTTTAACCAGATACCTTCAAGAGGAAAAACAAGGAAATTCCTGTTACGAAAGCTCTGTGGAGAGAGATCTACCATGTCATTTAGTTTTTCACCTTTATTCAGGGTGAGGAGTTCTCTCTGTCCTGCATCTTTTATCCCTGTTGGAATTTGGCGGTCCTTGCTTAGGAATTTCTGTTTTAAGGAGAGCAGGAAGCACCACCTTCTAAGATGTGGCTGAAGTCACAGGTCGCCAAATTAAAAGCATCAGAATTGCCAGGTGAGTTCAGCCTTGTAAATAGTGCCATCGCCAGGTGAGACAGGGTTGACACCCATGGCTGCCCTGTCCAACACCACTCCCAAAATGTCAAGTATATCTCAAACACCTCCAACTGCAGGGATTCCACAGGTTTAGTTTAACTCACTGAGAATTGTACAGGGAGGTGAACTGTCAGGTGGATTTCTATATCCAGCCCGTCCTACCTCTTGGGGTAGTGGATTCCCTACCTTCCTGCTCTCTGTGTGCTTTCGATCACAGCTCCACAGGCCACTGAACCAACCCCAGCCCAGCTGTGCATGTCAGGGGAGTGCAATGATTGCTCAATCAATGAAGCCCCATCGTAAGGACTTGAGCACCCTTGTTTCTCACTTTCTTTTGGGGGTGAGGGTGAAGGAGGGATGGCCCCATCACTCTCCAGCCTGTCCTTCTAACCCTCTCACAGATCCAGGCCCCTGTCAGGAGTCCCTCGCAGAGAACTAAAGTGACTACAGCTGTCAGCACTGGGCTCTTTGCCCTAGGGCCAGACCCAAGGCCTAAAGTCCCACCACCAACTGACCCACAGCCCAGACCTCGGAATCCAGCCCTTCCCTCTACCCCTTGTCCCCCGTAGTACATCCTCTCCTCTAGCTCTGGGACACACACCTGTGGATGTGATGCCTTCTCTGTCTCTTCCCTCCAACATGTGTCTTACAGTTGAGGCTGATCTTTCTCCTCCATGCCTGCCTTGAGGTGGAGGTGTTGCCTGGGGCAACAGTGATGTCACCGACAAGGTGCTTCCTTTCCACTGATGTCATGGGGTGGGCCACGTGGATGGATGAAGGGGAATGTGCTCTCTCCAGGCCAACACCACAGGCCCCAAACCCTCGAGGAGGCACCTACAGGCCTCTGTGCTCTCCCAAATGGCCCTCTTCTTCTTTCAGAAACCTCCTCACCCTTCCTCCTTCTCTGGTTGCCTGTTACAAGTCCTGCCCTGGACCTGCCTTTCCCTCTCCTGGAGTCAGCAGAAAGCTCCAGAAAGCAGCTTTGTCCTCAGCTCAGAACAAACCACTGGGAAGGGCACTAAGGATCTCCCTCTCCCTGTCTGGGGACAGTCTGGGTCCCCGCGGCCTTGCCCTTTGTCCAGGCCTCAGAGGAGGAAGCAGTGAGCTGACAGGGAAGCTGGGGGCCCAGTTGGCAGAGAATGTAGATCCTCAGTTGGCCTCTACCGCCCTGAGGAGCTCGTACAGGCCAGACTGCCAGGCTGTGCCAGGTGCTGTGCTCAGCGCTTTCCAAGCTTCATCTGGCTCAACCCTTCAACAGCTCAATGCGGGGTTATGCCCATTTTACTGCAGATGAAACTGAGCCTTGGAAGAGTCAAGGCATTTGCCCAACTACTGAGAACATGCAAATAATGAATGGTGGAGCCAGGACTCAACCCAAGTGTGCCCCTCTCCAAAGCCCATGTGGCCACACCTTGGCTCTGGGTCACTAGAGATGCAGCTCACCAACGATGAGCCAGGAGGGGCCTGAGCAGAGACCAGGGAGAGCCCTTTAAGTCCAAAGAGGCCACTAGGCAGGGCAGGTGGCCTGAGGCAGCCAAAGCAGGCACTGGCTTAGGACTGCTTCACCCCAGGCTCACGTAGGGCTGCTGTGATAGGTGGCCAGCCTTGCCCTACCACTGCTCAGGGCCTCCCTGCTGATCAGGGACCACGCAAGTGCTTTCGCTCTGTGCTTGGCTTCTTATTGATCCATTCAGGTCACCCAATCATCTTGTTGATTTGCATATAACATTTACCCCCGTGGCCTGGCCCCACAACGCTGAGATTATGCAGTAGTTATTTAGTTTATGCAAATGCAAATCTATGTCACTGGGAGATATTGCTTGCAAAGCACTAAACAAATAAGTAAACACAATGAAAAATCACTACATTATGGAAGAGGAAAGTGAGAAATCCTACCAGGCAAACACTACCCTGAGGCACTGGCAGGCATTCTGAGTATCTGGTCTATCTGGCAAGTATCTCTCCATTGGTGAGAGGACCTGAGAGGTGGGCAGAGCCCTGCATAATTGGTCATCACTGCCCCCTACCCTCCTGCCTGGCTCTGACTCTAGCTTTGCTAAACACAGGCCACCTTCTGACCTTTGGTTTCCCATACGGCTTGTGGAGGATAAAGGGAAGAGACAACATACAGTCTCTGTGACATTCACAAAGTCCCCTTTCAAATTAATAAACGAGCATTCTGAATTGTGTGCCCACTTCTGGGAGCCTTCTCGGGGTGACTCAGTAGCTTGAGCCCAAACCACTCAGACAATTTTGAAAATAGGGTTTCTGAGTGGGCACAGCTAAGAGCCATCCCCTGGGACAGGTGAAATGATCCAGGTAAACACCACCTGTGGGCAATCTGCTGGGCGCCAGCCGGCCCTTCCCAGGAGACATCTTGAGTTCCTCACTGCTGAGAAGCCGATATTGTTTCAAGTGTCCATCGACAGTATGTAGTAAAAAGTTCGGTTCCAGCTAGCTAAGCGCTCAGCTGTGCGGTGTGGAAACCAAGTGAATATATATACATGGGGCTGTGAAATGGCGTTTTCGGATAAGCGTGGAAAGGGCATCTGCAGGTGTTAGGACTTGAACAAGGAAGGAAGAAGACACAGATGGGGATTAGGGGCTTGGAAAGTCGAGACATCACGTTCAGATACTCCTCACCTCCTTCCACTCACTTTCTGCCTAGGTTAGGGCCTTTTCCCTCTGCACCACGCCCGAGTGGCACTTACTCATCACTCTCTCACCAGGCCCCAAACTGGATCTGCCGCCTCACACACCGCCCAGTGATTAAGGAAAGTCATTCGATTCTTGGACCAGGCCTCCCTGTCAGCCATCAAGGCTGGGCTTGCCTCTTTCTTTCCTCCTCTTTTTCCTGCCAAATGAGTCTTCCATCCTCCTCTGCCTGGGCTGAGGCAGGTATCTCTCCCTCGACAAAGAGAGAAAAAGGCAACTGCTCTTCCCTCTTTTCCACGAGGGTCCCTAACTAAACTAATTTTTTAAGCTTAACTTGCTCTGTCAATGCTTAGTGATTAGACTCAGCTTCCAGGCTCCTGAACACTTAACTTCCCTGTGCCTCGGTTTCCTCATCTGTAAAATGGGGATAATAATACTTCACTCACAGGGCTACTGTGAGGATTAAATGAGTTTATAGAAGCTAAGTGTTTTTGAAAAAAAAAAAAAAAGCTGCTGTGAATGTACAAGTGGTACACTGCTCAAGGGCACCTGGCTGGGGAGGGGAGCATGAATCCAGCTCATACGCTGCTTGCCCAGATATGAGTCATGACTATGTCCACGTCTACCCAGCTGAGGCTTTATTCCTAAATGGTACCAAGTGCCATACTTTTGCTGAGGAGGAAACACCTTACTCAAATTCACACAAGGGACCGTAAAGGCCAGCAGCAGCCCTAAAGGTTAATATTATTGACATCAACTGTCAGTATCCTCGTGGCTCTGCCTGCCTTCCCAGTGAGACTGGATTAGAGGGGGATCCAGGATGGACCAGTCTCAGCCAAATAAAGTCCGGCTTCTCAGCTCCCCAGCACACTTGGAGCACCTGGCCCTCCCTCAGTACACTTCCGGATTACAGCCCCACAGGCTGCTGTACCTCCTTGTCCCCACCCCGGCGCTCTCAACTCCAAACCACAGAGCCTTAGACTCTGAAGGCACCTTTTCCTTCGTACCTGTTGACAGCAACCTGTCACTACAGTGACTAGTTGACAGCAACTAGTCACTACAGTGACTAGTAGTAGCACAGTACTTTCTGAGGAGCTCTAGTTGTTGGAAAGTTCCTTCTTGCACTAAACTGAGACCTGCCTTTCTGCCCATTCTAATTAGGGAGCTTCTGAGGCCAGACCAAGCAAGTATTCTCCTCTCAAGCAACAATGCCTGAGATACCCAAAGACCACAGTCGTGGCCCCTTAGGCCTCTCATCCCTGTGCACCCTTCTCCCTCACAAGACGCACCAGACCCTCCACGCCAGTCAGTATGGCAGTGGGTGTCCCTCCCAAAAAGGAGCATTGAGAACTGGGCTAGGGACCTCCATCGGCCCACCCCTACTCTTGCCGGGGGCCATGTGTGGGGTGCACCGTCACTGCTCCAACGGAGGTGACTGTGTACCCTTTTCATCAGACAGAACTCACCCACCTTCTTTCTCTTTATTGACCCCAGAGGGTCCAAAAAGGGAAAAACACTGAATCAGGTTCCTCCCAGACAACATCTGCTCAGATGGGGCAATTCTGCCAGAAGCCTTTCCACAGAAGTTCCTGCCCCTTCTTGCCCTCTGATAAAAAGTTCACCCACACACTCTCTTCTCTGTTTCCCTAATGGAGGCTGCAAGAGCAGGGAGGTGACAACTTCTGGGATAATGACATCACGTTAAAAGTTCAGATCCTTGGCCCCTGAACGCCAGAGGTTGAAATGGCTGCATCTTTGAAAGTCACAGAGCAGGAGGATGGCACTAGAACAAAAAGCCTTTCCATCCATTCAGGAGGGCAGAGTCAGTATAACCACATCCTGGTTACCCACAAGGGAAAATCTGAGGGCAGAATGGCCTGCAGCAGCAGCAGCAACACACAGGGAATTAGCAAACAATGAAAGCCACTTAGGCAGGTGGGCGGGAGGGAGGACTCAAAAACCTAGCCCTTTGGTTTTTTTAAGGAGGGAGTAACAGCAATTCTGCTTGTCTGCCACCCCATTTCCCCTGCCAACCTAGGCCTGTAACTCCACCAGCCACGGATTAACTTAGCGGGCAGCCTCTCTGAGGTACACCTGGTTTGTAAAATGGAAAGGCCCTGGGTCAAATGCAAGAGAGGAACAAGGAAATAGAAGGCGACCCCAATTTAGCTCCCAAAGACCAGGTTCCAGGATGCTACCTGTTTCGCACTCTTCTAATTTTGACCAGGCAGAGGGGCAAAAGGCAAAATGAGGTTCCTGCCGATTCAGTAAAATATTTTCCCTCCCTGGTCGGTAGCATTTTTACTTTTAAAGGGAAGGAGCTTGTCGGATGGGGAATCCAGCCCTGGGGCTTCTGAGTCCCTTCACCTGGCAGCCAGAATGGCGGAGGCACCGGGACCAGGTTGAGGATGGGGTTAGGGTTAGGAGTCGGGTGCAGAGACTATTTGCAGCCCCAAGAGAAAGTCTGCGCAGCGTGGAGTCTCGTCCTCTCGTAGTCTTGAAAGAGGAAGCTGTGGGGGGCTTTATCCGGCCCGAAGCAACCCCATAACTCGACTAGCAGAAACCGAAAACAAACTTCACTCCTACTCCTTCCTTGCAGGAGAGGAGGGAAGGGAGAGCGGGAAGGGATGTGGCTAAGCAGCAGGGCGACCCGGCTTTTCCTTCTGCTGTAGCACTCTGCTCAGATGGTGAAAAGTAACGGATCGTCCGGGCACCAGGGACAAAAAAACGTGGTCCCGCTCCGGGCTCTGAGGCTCCCAGGCTCCGAGGCTCGGTGCGCCAGGGGAAGGGGCTGCCCGCCGCGCCGGCAGCAGCCAAGCGCCCACCCGCTCCGCGGCCGGGACCCGAGCGGAGAGAGCCGAGCGCATCCAGCGCTGGAGGAGGGGCCGCGGCAGGACAAAGCGCCCGCCTCCGCACGCGCCTCTAGGGGGTCTCCAGAGTCAGCCCCCCGGGGCCGCGCGGGCGCCCGCCCTCCCTGCACCCCCTGCGCCCCCACTCCTGGCAGCCATCTCGGGCGCAGCTCCGCCGAGTGCCCCGTCCTCATCGCGCCCTTCCTTCAGCGCACGAGGCGATCGGCTGCTGGCCCAGGACTTACGTTCGGGCTGGGTCCCCGCTCCCCGCCGCGGGGGGACGGCTGGAGCGCAGGCTTGGCGCGCGGTCGGGGCCCGGGCCCCGCTGCTTGCGGGCGGCTGCGGCGAGTGAGCGACCGGGCAGCTGGCGGGACGCGGGCGGCGACACCCCGGCCGGCTCCCTCCTCCTGGCCTCCTCCTGCGGGGCTCCGTAGGGTTTAAGAGTTGCTCATTTCCTGGATGTCACCGAACTTTTCCCTCCTTAGAACAAAACACCCGCCTCCATTCCGGGCCTCGGAAGCTCCTTAAGGAGGACCGTGTGGGTTGCGGGGTTGGGCCCAGGGTCCGCAGCGATCTGCCCAGTGAGCACCCTCTCTAGAAACTCCAGACGGCTCAGCAGAACTGGAGAGTGACTGGGAGAGACGGGATCCGGC